GACAGGTCTTTACAGAACAAGCCTTCCTCTCTGGGCGGCGAAATCAGAATTCACCATAGCTGATAGGTTCGTGCCTGAGGGGAATTCTGGGAGATTTAAAAATGCTGACTCTCTAATCGATCTTAGCACACTCTTATTCTGCTGTCTTTCTTAAATCTTTGTCTTTATCCCATTCCTCTTTCGGCATCATTACGCTGCTGCTGCAGATAGAGATGGATGATGGGATCCCAGCCCTTTCCATTTAAAGAAGCATTTGTTACCTTAGGTTTAGTTTCCATTGGGAAATGAATTCAGAGCTGCCGCTATAAAACATTTTTGTCCCTGTCTGTTCTCATCTATTTTAGCTATCTTAAAAAATCAAATCTTGGCTTTCTCTGAATATTCAGAGAGCTAGGATACAGTGGGTTCACTCATTAGCCAAATCCCTGTTGGTATAAATACATTATGCCATCCATGAATGTTATTTCCTGACGTACATACACATAGGGCATGGCATCTACAATTATCCAGCTCCAGACCTTAGGCTCTGACATCTGTTTCCTAATGACAGATAATTACATGCTGTCAAGTGCAATCATCAGTAGTTGCTGCTAAGAAACTGGGTTTGGAGTGTGACTGGTGCAGCCATGTTGGTTCCAGAGGAGGCAACACACCCTGAGGGGAGCACAGGGACGCTATAGCAAACTCCTTCTGAATTTAAATATCATTGCAGGGGTGTATGTGTTTTTCGGAATGTGCCTGTGCATATGCATGTCTTTGAGAGCGTGTGTGATGAGTTCTCACCACCTGTGAGACGAGTAGTGAGTGGATGGAAGGAGCCAGTCTGTAGTCTCTTGGATGGACAAATTCATCCATTCTGCGTTTTGTGTCTGCCTGGTCAATGCAGTTCTTGTGCTTCTGATGAAGAATTAATAATGATCTTCCTTAGCAACAGGAGCATTGGCAGTTACATATTTCTGCACTTGGGTATCTTTTCAGTTTTATCGATTCCTATTCTGCTATCAAATCCGGTTCTTATCAAAGCTCTGTTTTGATTCCAACTTCTTCACCACAAATCTTGTCACCGCTTAGTGACATTCGTCCACTGCCATAGTCCAGGAATGTAAGAAATACTCTCTTCTTGCATGCTTTGTTGACATACTGCGAAACAAATGACGTGACGTTAGGTCCGCATGTCAGGTCCTGGCAGGTGTCTTTAGGAATCCAGAGTTCTTGGAAATTTTGTATCGATTACATCTTGGAATTTGTTCTTGTTACCCAACCCTACATAGTGTATTTCCTAACTTTAAATAGTCTTTAATTTGGTGATGGTTATTTTCATAAATTGAATTTGACTTTTGTCAGACCAATACTGCAAAACCTAAAGATATAGTCTGACATAAGACAAAAGGGGCAGGAAACTCTCACAGTTGGGAACGTGGAACTTGGAAATGTTAGAAGAATACTTTACCATTACTACTATTTATACTTTACGATTAACACCCATTCATTTTGTCAAGCATCTGCTCTGCTTTGACAAAGTAGTTTGATTATTAGCACATTAATTATGTATATGTTGTTACTATGATCAACAGCAGTCATTACTGTAATCAATAAATAAATATTATTATTATTATAATAATGCACATATATATCTGCAATATTGTTCTTCCATTCCATATTTATATATTTCTACATTTATTTATGTTGACTGTGTAGCACCTTATCACCACAGCAAACTCCTCGTATGTGTAAAACACTACTTGGCAATAAAGCTCCTTCTGAATTGTCTGATTTTGATTAGGACCAGCATCACAGACTCAGTCTTGGTTTTCTTGTCCTTTTCATGATCTGATTCTAATTCCCTTTGTGTAATTGACACCTACTATTACGACCTTTGCTGCATGCCAGTCTATGTCTTCCACCGTACTTGTAGGGCCAGTTGGAAATTGTGTGTGTGTGTGTGTGTGTGTGTGTGTGTGTGTGTGGGATAAATAAGCAGATTATTTAAGGTTATTAAGATTTCATACACAGGGGCAAGTCCACACTGTGTAGTTGCTGCTGTGTCTCTGTAGCGCTTCTACTGCGGCTCCTTAGCAACTTGGCTGACACCTCTGCTGCGTACAGCTGCCATATGGTTGACTGGCGTGTTTTGTTGTCACCTGGCAATGAAACTGATAATTGTTAATGTCACATCGGGTCCAATTATAATAGCCTCATAAGCTGAAGCAGACACAATTACTGAATCCCTGGTTTTGAAAGAACTGAAAGCATCCTTTGAATGAATAATGTTTTTTCTTGGAAATGAAGGCTATCTAAAGAATGCATGCCATTTATGGATTTGTCTGCCATTAAATCGGCTTTGATGTATGCCTGTGAAGTGAGTAAGGTCTTTACCTATATAACTTCAAACATTTATTACAGAAAACAATAACTTGGGGCTTGAAGGATGTTACCTGTGTTTGTAGAACAGTGTTAACGTTGCCCTTTAAAACATCTAAAATGTGCTTTGACTATGATCCAAAAGATTCTGCCACCTATCAAATATAGGGAGACTCTTTCCACTGCTAATAAAGAGAGATCTGCCAGACAAGTTGAGAAGCCAGGTCTTTTTCTGATGTATCATGCAATAGGTGTAGATGTAGATGGTGAAATGATTTCCATTTACACCAATGTAAAGTCAAGCTCAGTTGTAGCCTTCAAATGAGGCCGGCTGTAATTCTTTGGTGAGAGGTCGGGCTGTCTCACAACGTTTTTGTGTAGGTTTGACTCAGAGTACGAGTTTCTGCAAATGGCCCTGTACAGCATGCAGAGATGGCACTCTTCTGAGTTTTGGCGGTTTGCGATTCATTTGGAGTTGATACAAGTTGATGGCATTTGAATGTGCATGTGTTTGTTAACGTGTTTGGTGTCATTTTTTATCACTGCCATCATCTTCACCAGAAGCTGTTGTTCTCTATGCAGTATGTCACACCATCAAGCGAGGGAGATGCAGTTGTAATGATAATGAGCTGGAAGAGATTTTCCTTCAGGATCCATTAGAAATCTTTAAGCTCTGCTGTGCTTTGGCCCATTTTATTAATCCCTTAGCATTTTAACCAGCCTCACGACTCCTCTCCACGACTCCACTCCACTAAATTCCAAATGATTTCTCTGAATTGTCTCACAAAACATTCTGTTTAATGCAAGTTGTCTTGCTTACTAAACTTATACTCTTAAGATGTAAATTTGCTGACATGTGCTCTTGGGGTTTCGCATTGTGGGCCCCAACAGGGCGTTTAGGCCAGTTACCTTGGCTAAACTTCCTTGCAACAGCCATGGGCTCAGTATTCTCGTGAAAAGGGCCTACGGCTCGACTCCAGATGGCCGTCTGGATAGACAAAGCCGTTTTACTGCCTCATCCCTGCTACATTACTCAAACGTTATCGCCCCTGCCTACAAAAATCCATCTGTGCTCACGACCTAACTTGAAGATCCATCATCTTGACACTTGTATTGAAACAATGACAATAATGACAGCATGAGATGGATCTCAGAACAACGCAATGCACGTTTAAACTGGCAACTTTTGTCCTAAGATCGATTCTTGGAAATGAAGTTGTCAGCAGAAATTGTAAAAAAAAAAAAATGTTTGTAAAAGAGGTGCGTTTAAGTTGTGCTCTCTACATATTTATACAGAGAGTAGCTGTATATCTTGCTCCTATTGTTTTGCAAGCTTGACTGTTTTAATGAGGCCACAGAAGAGTTTCTCCTACTTAACTTTCTGTTGTGGTAGAGTTTCAGTGGGAATCAATGAAGGATTTAGAATAGGTTTAAGTTTCTTGCTCACTCTGACACACAAGGATGCACGTACCCAAGCACGTGCATGCACGTTTGCATGCACATACACACGCTTGCCTCAGCTCTTGCTGACTAATTGGGTAGCGATGCTGAGTAGTGTGATCTTACAGCTTGTGCTCCTTGTGTGTTTGCATGGGTTTTTAAGTGTGCGTGTGCATGCATGTGTTTGTTTGTGGATGTACATGCAAGCGTAACTTTTGCTGATCAGTCATTCACCTCCACTGATTTTATAGTTTCTGCATAGACTATGTGTCCCTGGTTGTCTGCAATACTGCAGCCTCCTCATTCTGACTCCCACTGCACATTAGTGCAGACACTGTATCCAAGCAATGAAGTCTTAAAAACTGGTTTTGTCCATCCAAATCACCAGGTAGAGTCATAGCTTTGCTCTTTTTACAGCTTTTCATGCTTTTCTAACATGAAATATTTCGTCCATATGTTTAGGTCATATAAATTATGGGTCTTGTAGGTCAAAGAATTCTTTTGTGAGGAGTTTGATTTATTTGTGCATTTCTATGTGCTGAGCGCTTGAGAAGGCACCCACTCTTGCATGGTTTGCCCTGTGGTGTGTGTGAGACGAGGCCAGTGACCAATGATTCTCTGACAAACGAGGTGTGTGTGTATGCCTCTACCAACCCATACATTACTGTCTGACCCTATCTGACCAACCAGACACCAGCTTTCTGGGGGAATTCAGAGAGCATGCAAACTGAAGCCCTGGTCATTAAGGCTGTTAATTTGTGCAGTATTTGCGCTTTTTACTATATAGAACTGTTGTAGAATTTTCTATTTCCTTTACAAACAATTTTTTTGTACGCTTTTGTTACTGCTGCACACACTCTCACCTGAGAGTTGCCTAGTATAACTAAACTCTTGCTCTAATGGCACCGACCAGCTCCACTGGAGCACTTTTAGGTTAACTACCTTGCTCAAAGGCACCTTGAGACTCATACAAAGCTTTCCAAAATGAGTTCCCACAGCAGATCTAACCTTCCCAGTCGATGTCGGACCCATTGATGCAAGGTTACTGTGTTGCTGGTCACAAGCCTGTGTCTCATTGCTCCTATGATAACATTTCAGAACATTTTTGGTGGTGTGTTAGCCTCTATTCACAGGTGGTGTTCTAATGTTGGTGTATCCTAGCTGTTCTAATGTTTGTTTGTCTTCACTGTTCTGCCCAGGTTCATTCAGGAGATAGAGATGAACATGGGGCCGGGCCAGGCCAAGCAGTGCCAGCTCCGAGCCTTCCTCACTTATTACATCAATGACCTCTTCCTCAACCAGGTTAGTGAAGTGATAAATTAATGCCTTTCATTGTGTCTGACAGAGTGGTATATCAATACCCAAAGCAAAACATCAGTGGAACATTTGAGCTTTCCCAGAAAATTATTTTTGTTTTATTGGAAAAACCTCAGTTATGGGACACTGGTAAGACTAAGCAGACTGGTACTCACTTTATGTTCAAAATATGTAGTCTCTTTTTGAAAGTCTCCATCTGTTCTTGTTACTTAATAGCTTGGACCTTTTGTTACCATTAGTTATAATTTTGAAAATTCTGCTGATGCAATTTTTGGGCTTCTTGTCCTTAAAGTCAAGTTGCCTAAATGTTGTACTCTACCCCTTTAGGATTTCTCAAAACTGATAGAAGTAAACAACACAATAACATAGTGCTGGGGACCATTGTACTTCTTAATCTTTTCAACATTTCCTCATTCAATACCTGTTCTTACCCCAAAAACTTGTAATTTCCAAGCTGATGGTTGTCCATATGTGGCCAGATAAATGGCCAGAAGATTGATAACTTCCTGTGTGTTGGTACATATATACATAAAAAGAGAGACGATTGCTGTATAACAGTAAACACCTCTGCATCATGTGTTCGTTGGGTTTTAAAGTAGCTTACATACATACATCATTTTAGTTCTGCATTATCTTTACCTTTAGAAAATGTCAAACTAAAACTAAACAAAACACAAAAAAGAACAAAATACAGGCTGACTTTTGAATACAAACATCGAGTTATTGATTACTCTGGCTTTATTCCATTAAATATGACCCATATAACGTAAACTTTTGTCACTGAACCATAAGGTGCGAACAGAGATCAACAAGGAAATTGAGGCAGTGAGCAAGGCAGCTGACCCCTTGAAGATCCTTGCCAGCGCTGATACCATGAAGGTTCTGGGTGTCCAGAGACCTCTGCTGCAGGTGAGGAACTTAAACGGTGGGAATGAATTATAATGAACATCTGTGGAACGTAAAGCAGGTTAATATAACACCACATATGGCCTCAAAAATCATCATAGAGTTGAATCAAGAGACTGTGGGCTCTAACAGCTTCACAACATATTACTTTTGGATTACACATTGATTGTACAGGTGTTAATGACATTGTGTTCTCTGTGTATGTAGAACTTAACCTGCTTTCACAAGTTTTGCCATCAGTTGTTGGCCTTATTTAAATACAACAGGTCAAACTGTGAACACCGTATGTGAATAGCATTTACACATTTGAGTAGTTAGAAAAGCTTAAGAAAAGACACACTACCTGTGTGCTTGGCACCGTTTCCCCTTTGTACCCCTGTTCAATGGAGGAGGGCTCTCTTGAGTACACTCACCTTGCAGTTCTGTGTGATCTCAGTTGGTTCAGGGGCAGGCAGAAACACACACACACACTTCCACACACGCACTTTCACACTCTGTTTCGCTCTCAGATCATTATGCCCACCTACCACCTATCTCACAGGATCATAATTGCGGCTGAAATTGGGCTTGATCTTTGAGTTTGTAGCTGTTGCTAACTGGTGGTTACATGCACATACACATTGTGTCTACCATTCTCTTTTTTCCTGGGCCATTTTCTACAGAAAGCAAGTCTGTGATTACAATGACTAACCTCGCCAGAGAAAGTAGAGTGTTTTTGGCTCAACTTCACTCTGCAGCCACACATGACACACACATACACAACACCATGTGTCACTGCATGACCACACTAGCAGTCAATAACTATAGTTTTGCTTTGCTTGTGTTTATTTTAGAGATGTCTTTCTATGCGGCGCAAGCTGTGTCTATGTGTTTAAGTATACATTTATATGTGTCCATGAGAGAGTCATTATTTCCCTTGAAAATGGGCTGTTTACTCAGATTTCCTAGCTTCTAGTGGTATTTTGCAAAGCAAATTTTGTTTTTTTGTGTGCTGATGTTTTCAGAAGTCCACCTCTTAAACGTGTGCTGACGCAACAATACAGTGGAGGTGGATAGGATTTCAATTGTGATGTATGAAATTTGTCCAAAGTAACACTAAATAAAAACTGCTAAACTTGGCTATAACCTAGAAACTTAATCAAAAAATTTACAGATTTTGAGTGTCTCACTGACACTGCACCACATTTAACCACCGGCTCATCTTGCTGATTTTGGCAGCCTTTCTTTATCATAACAAGCTCATGGCAGGTTGAAGATTACAGCAGTGCCAAATTCAAGATCCAAACATTTGGCAAGAATTTTCAAGAATGTCTCAGCTGTCAGACTGTCTAGATGTTTGGTGGAGTATGGCTCTCTTTGTCTACAATATTGTAAAAATGTCACGCACGCGTATTTCTTTGACCTGTCTGTCTGTCTGTCTGTCTGTCTGTCTGTCTGTCTGTCTGTGTGTGTGTGTGTCTGTGTGTGTGTGTGTGTGTGTGTGTGTCTGTGTGTGTGTGTGTGTAGGTTTGCTTTGGTCCATGCAGTTGTCAAGGAAGACAGTGTCCCAGAGAGGTAGTCTGTTTGTGTAGCAGACCTCGTGTGTGTGTGTGTGTGTGTTTTGCTGTGTGTTTGTTTCTGTCAGAGCCTTCCTGTCTGTGTGCCTAGTTCTCTCACAGGGAGGGAACAGCGGTGGCAGATCATTACAGAGCGAGAGACCGTGGGCGTTTGGAGTTCAGCAGGGTTTGTTTACGGCTCGGGCCCCTCCTTAACGAGGAGTGCAGCATCTTGCTAATTATGCTGCTGTGGCTAATGAGCCTTTCTGCTGATAGTGGGGAGTGCAGTAAAATACTCCTTTTGTTTGGGCTTTTTGCCTTTTTTAATTGGGCTAAATAAAAGAGCCTTCCCTTCTTCTTCTGCTGCCATTCACATTTCAGGGTCAAGATGGCATTTGTGTGTGGTTTGGGTACTTTTTCATGTGTGTATTTGTATCATGTTTTGCTACCTGTATGTAGTTGTGTTTTTGGTCCCCAATTTGAGAGCCTTCCCACTGTTTTCTTTGATGGCCTTCATCCACAGTGTCACTGTTATGGCAGACTGCTCTCTTCCTTAGTTTGTAGTTATTATTCATTTAGTTGTCATGAGAGCTTTTGATAAAGGGATTTGACACCTTTTTATCCAGAAAGTATAAACTAAACTTGTTTCTTTTGAACTGGGTTTGCACAAAGTACTTTATGTCAGGAGATGTTGGCTGGCAGTTTGGTGATTTGGTGATCAACTCTGACTGCAATGGATAATTAAAGATTATAGTGACGATGCAATATAATGGTTGCTAGAGTTTTCAATAATGGAGCAGATGCGGTCGTGTGTGTATTTGTGCATTTGTGTGTCTTTGTTTCTGTATTTCTACGCAGGAGTTTGAGTTTGCTCATGTTCGTGTGCATGCAGTTACTGTATGTGCTCCCTTGAAGTGCCATGATACTTTCTGTGCCAGGTGTTATCAGAGAGAGACACACACTGCTGGCATCCGGGCCAGCGTGGTTGACAAGAGGGAGAGAGCTCAATATTGCTACACCACATTAAACACACTCTCATACACCTTGGCTGGAGCCTCGTATGGGACACCATAGGGGAGCACATTTTATAGACGCATCTGCTCTCTGCAACCACTCAAGCACACATTAATGGGTGCAATAGTTCCAATGTGGAAGAATATATTAGCATTTAGCACGTGTGGTTTTGTTGTGTTCTGGAATAGAGCTGAGGAGTTCAGAGTCAAGCAGAAATGTAATGGCGTACATGCATATGCAAGTGCACACAAATATATTTTAAGACCCACGGAAATACTAAGTCTTCAATCTATCCCTGCTGTTACATGTTCGTATAGCTATGTGAAATGTATATTATTTTCTGACCCTATATGATATTGGATGGGTTTATCTCTGGCCTATTTTTGCTACCCCCTTGCAGCATGAAGAGAATATTTATCGATTCATTTCCATAGCATTAACTTTTGTAGTGGACACATATTATTAAATACATTTATTTTATATGAATACTTTGACCCTTTGTCAGTGATATCTCACCGCTCGAAATGGACAAAGTGACTTTATGGAAACCCTGTACAGGAGTCAAGGTGAGTATCACGCCTAAGGTTAACTTAAACAACTCCTAATAAGCAATACACATGCAGACTGGGCTTAGGTTAATAAGTAATATTGATATGGGCAATGATTTGCCTATCACTAGGCACCAGCGGCGTCTAATACTGCATTTATATATCAAGCACATATATTACATAATGATGATGTGATTATGAACCTGACACTGGATATATATTGTCCACTTGGAGCATTAGATAAGGGCTGACTGGGACAGTATATAGTTCAGAGAGAAAGGTTAACATCCATTCATGTGTCTGTGTGATAGCATAGCCTGGGCTGATAAGTCTCTAGAGGAGCAGTGGTGTTAAAGAAAAAGAGGAAGGCAACCAAGCTGCAAGTCTAAGTCTTAATAAAACTTTTATTTTGGCATATTTGATGTCTGGCTTTCTTTCTTGCTTGCTTGATGTCTTTGTTGTGCTCTACCTTTCATCTATTGTGACCATAGTTTCCATAATTCCCATTTTACTGTTGTTTTTCTTTCCTTTTTTTTTTTTTTTTTCACGTCCTAGACTCAAACAGTATACTAACACACAAACATACACACTGTTATAGCCCTAGCAGTGTGATGCTATCTGTCCAGCTTTGGTGTTGCCACTGATTGATTCATTTAATTAGAGTTAGATCGAGGGAAAATGGTAGAGGGGGAGAGAGAGATGGGGGGAATACAATAGAAGAAGAAAGTAGGATAGGGAGGGTATGGTCACTCTGCTGGATAGCTCTGGAGATTGACTCCATTAATCTTGCTAACCCCCCGTCCCCCCCCCCCCGTCCCCTTTACACACTCACTTTGTGACACACTAACATACAAGCATACACAGTGTGCACACGCACCTTCACACAAGTGCAACAAGACAAAACATACCCACTAAAACAACGATCGCATTTCTCTGTCCAGAAGACAGTCGTGTCAAGCCTCCTGCGTGTCCCCACTGCATGTGGTGCACATGTGTTTGTTAGGGAGTCAATGAGTACGGATGAATTGTTTGTATTCTGCTTGTTTACTTCATCAGCCAAGACCACACCAGTGCCATAATTACATTACACACAGGCCCTCTCTTTCCAGCTAAGTATCATTCAGATTTGTCCCCAGTGTCTCCCAAACAATAGCTGCTAACTAGTCCTTTTGTATCCGTGTGTGTTTGTTTTGTGCACAAAGTGTCCCTGCATTGGCTATTCATACAGTACGTGCATGTATTTGCCTGTGTCGGGGTGTTTGTATGCACACGGAACTTGTTCTGGGGCCAGATTAAGACTGATTTCATTCATTCACTGTTCAGCTGCCAATGACCTGCTAATGATCTTGACCTTTAAAATGTCATATTCACATGTAGCTTTGTGAGAGAGGAGGATGGAACACACTCATATGCACGTGTTACTTGTGCATGCACTCGAACATTCACCTCCAGTAACTGTAATGACACTGACCTTTTTATTTGTGATGATGTGTGTAGGCAATGTTTATTAGTGGGGGGCTAATAGCTTCCTGTTGATTGGCTTCCCGCTGCCCCCCGCACCTCCCACCCCAACATCCCCACCACTACACACCCACACATACACAAGCAGTGAGAGGAGATTAGAGCAGGGGGGCTTCTTTTTATTAAGAAGACTCTCAGCACCCTGTTCAAATCAACACACAGCAATCACAACACAATACACCTGTTAGCTGCATCAGCCTTGCCCTGTGATTGGGGCACAAGTGGGAGTGGGAGAATGAAGGAAAACGTATTCGGTTACACACATGTACACACACATGCACTTCCCCCGCACCGAGAGACACACACCGCAAACATAGAAGCTAGAAACAAAACTCGAAAGCCATTCCCGTGTTTATTAGTAAAAGGAGAATCTCAGCGAAACTGT